GGGTGATCTCACCCAGCGGCTCTCTTCTATAGACTTCTAAGTGGCTTGTTCAAAACAAAGCTCGTTATTTTTCTCCATTTCACGCATTTTAAGCTTTTACTGCTAGGCTTGATTATTCTCCACTAAGGGCATTGTCCAGTGGAGAGAATATGAGAAGCAATCGAATTTCAAACTTTCGAGTGACCCCTATTTTAAAAAGTAGTAAGAAACAAAATTTTAATGTCGGTTGGTTCCTTCCAGTCGGTTCTGACGCATAATGACCCTGTGTGTAACAACAAACACCACCTGGTCTCGCACCATCCTCACCCTGGTTGCTATGTGGGAACGCATTGCAGCAGTCAGTGTACTAATCCATTGCGTTGAGGGTCTCTCTTTTTCACTGAGCCTCTGCTTTTCCAAGCGTGATGTCCTCCTTCAGGGACTGGTCTTTCCTGATAGCGTGCCGAAAGTATGTGAGGTGCCATCCCACTCTGCTCACTTCTAAGGAGCATTCTGGCGGTACTTCTTCCAAGACAAATTTATTTTTTCTGTCAGTCGATGGTACTTACAAAGCATTGAAAGGGGTGGGGGTTGGGGGGGGGGTGTTTCAATAAACAATTCACATATCCCCCCCAATTAAGCATTTAAACATATAATGGAGATACAATTATTGATGACATATTTTACCTTTTTTTTTTCATTTTTAGAAACCCTGTGTGTATTTTACACTTAGAGTGTATCTTAATTCAGTTTGCTCTAGAATAGCCACAGTTTAAGTACTCAGTAAACACCGAATGCACAACTCCTCTGACCCGACCTTTTACCACGTCGCTGAGGTTTTTGGTAGCAAGCCAGCCTAGTGTTCCACGAATACGGCCGGAGCTCAGAACCCCACCGCACGGAGTGGCATGAGAAACTTAACACCTCTTATCATGCAAAACGAGCGGATCCGCCGGGGTTTTGCAAGGTGACCCATCTCCAGGTCTCCAGGGCTCAGGCTCCTCCCAGAGCCCTGGGTGGTGGACTTCGGGGGACTTGCCCTGTTTGGGCTTTTGCTGGCCCGAGCCCATTTCTTGGGTCTCTCCACCCCCGCCCAGAGCCAAGCCCAGTTTGCCCCTCTTGGCACTCACCCTGGCGACCGACAATCTCGGCGACATGCTCGGAGCTGGGCACCGGGACGCACTCGGTGGTGTTGACGCTCTTCCTCCGGAGCAGGGCCGCCTGCTCCCCGTTCAAGGCGGCCGCCGCCGCCCCGCAGCTGCCGGGGCCGTAGGCGTGGGACAGCATCGCCGCCATCATGCCCTGGGCATCGTCCCCTCCGTAGAGCACCCCCGCCGCCGCAGCCGCCTCCCGGGCATCGAAGGCGGCGGTGGGCAGCAGCACCGAGCCCAGGGACCCGCCTGGGGTCGGCGGGGTCTGAGAGGTGGCGGCCACGGGCGGCGCCAGCAGCAGCAGCGACGGCCGGTCCTCCTCCTCGCCCTCCTCCTCCAGCTCCTCCTCCTCCAGCAGGTCTCCGTCCAGCTCCGCTTCCTCCCCCTCCTCCTCCAGCTCCAGCTCGGCCTCCTCCGCGGCCCCGGGCCTTCCGGGCACAGCGCGCTCTTCTGGAGGCAGCCCCGCCG